AAGCTTGCCGCAATCCGTGAAAAAGATCCAATTCATCACCAGCACCGGCAACGTCCTCAATGCCGATAAACAGGTCACGAAAGGGATCTTCTTCATCGTGAGGCCTGTCTAGATCGAGGGCTCCCAGAGCTTGGGCTTCCCGAATCACCCCTGTGGAAAAAAATGGGAAAGGTAGGCGAATCCTCGGTTGATGCTTCCCCAAATGAATTGCCTGGAGCATTCTCCTCGGTTCGAAGGGGTTTGAGGGCCCCTTCGGTCATATCCCCTGCCCGTTGACTCCGATGAGATGCGTCTTCGATATCCGACAGTTTGGGGATACTACCCGAATCTTTCTCCGATATATCCTCAGTTCAAGGCGGAGCCTCATGGAGCATCATAGATCCAGCCGCCGATGAGGCATCAATGGTTCTCTTCATTCGGACCGCCAGCGCGGACTCATCGTTTTCTTCTTCTTCATCCCTTAGACGCAAAACGGATTCCACGGTCAAAGGAATGACATTCTTGTTTTGGCTTACGAGCCATCCTATTCTTCGGTTTTGGATCTTCAGGAACAGAGTCTCTTTTCCTTTTATTTTCCTTCACCGGCTTTGGGATAGAGGCCGAAATTTCCTCCTCGTTGGACAAGGGCCGCAAAATTACGTCTTTACCCAAACCTGCATATGGAAAACCTTAATAAAATATTTTGAAAACCACCTCGTTCGAATCATCAAAGAGTATGAGAAATGGGCTTACCATGATTTTTGGCCTCCTACCGACCCTTTGACAAATCACGCCATGAGCGCTCGGCGTATATAGAGGTCGAAACAAGAGCTCGTACCCAGTTCTTGAGATCAGGAACTCCTCCGGGCATCCAGGGAACCGCTACATCACAAAAGGAGGAGTGTCGATGAGAGAAGAAATGAAAGAACAAAGTAGAAGTAACAGTAGGGTCACACTTATGTTTCATATTCCACTCCTCGGGAAAGGGCATCTTTTCAGTCGGAATCAGGTCCGAAGTCCTTACTCGAACGAACCTGCTCATCCAACTCCGGTCCCTGTCCTCGTCAATACTCGAGAACAGAGCCTTGGTAGCCCGACGCTGAAGTTTTATTAACCCTCCTCGAAAAAGTCGAGGACGGTATAATCGGATAAGATGGTCGAGGGTGAACGACATCCCCTCGATTTTGCTCACGAAATATCGGATCAGGATAACGATCCGCCAAAAAGAAGGGTGGAACTGGCCTAGGGTTATTTGGTATTGACGACAGAAATCAATGATAACGGAATCGAGGGGACCCAACGTGAAAGGATAAGAATACACATTCAAAAACCCTCTCACGTGCGAAGTGATATCTTCGTTAGAAGAAGGAATCATTATTTCTTTTTTATCCCAATTGCAATCTTTCTTTTGCTGCTAGAGGTGCTTCTCGGTTATCGAACATTTATACCACGATACCAGTTCACATCGACCAGGGACCGATGAGCCTTTATCGACCTTGAAATCAGAAGTAAGGACGCACGCCCCGGGAACGCACTCCTCAGGCCGTGGTTCTGCCGGCGTATCATCGGCGGCACACTGTGAAGATGAAGCTTTCTCTTTCTGAGGGATGGTTTGTGATGTTTTCGCCATTTTCGAGTTCAGAAGTAAGGAATAGAGAAAAGTGACAAGGGTTTGGTAGAATTGAAGAGGGACTTTTGCAAAAAGAAATCACAGATTTACTGATAAGTTGGAGAATACGAAGAAGGACTTGGTAAATTTGGAAGATAGAAGATGTAAAAGTGGTAAAGGATAAAAGAAAGGGTTATTTATAGGTTCAAGCGATGGCGATTCAGTATCAACGGTGGCCGACCACCACCTGACATGCATTAAATGCCTTAAAAGAATAAACCGACGGGACAGCTACTAGATGCGTCATTGTCGAACCCGATGGAAACTTCAAGTTATAATCCGATCGAGCCGTTAAAAAATCATATCGTTTCTC